AAGGGATTTAATTAGGTTTCTTTTCCGACTGATTGGTACCCAGCTGTAGAAACTTGTCAATTGTCCGTTCCAAGTCGGTTTCCTATTGATTGACCTTCTTAAAGTTCCGTCATCTCTCCTTGTAAGCTCAACGTCAAGAAAAGGGATTTTAGATTCGTTTTCAGATTCCAAAGTGAACTTTGTGGCTGGATGGCATTTGTTGAATATTTGTAGTAGTTGATTGAGATTGTGATCGTCATCACAGATGATAAATATGTCGTCAACATATCTAACGTACAACTGGAAATTGTCGATGGTTGATTTGAGTGGGCCGTTCTCGAGGCTTGCCATGAAGCAGTCTGCTAGTAATGGGCCCAGTGGAGATCCCATTGCGATCCCATCCTGTTGTCTGTAAATAATGTTGATGATGATCCATACCAACGTAATAAGCTATTTCATTATGTAGACACATACTGATTTAATAATTTCATACGCTTGTCAAATCCAACAATCCACACATGGTTTTGTTATCTTCTACAATTCACCAACTTGACGACAAAAATTACCTGATACTGGAGAACGATGATTAATTCATTATATGTAAGCTGAGATTTTGCCAATTCTGGCTGGATGATACTTTGATAAAGCTATTAGCATTAAGTCGCAAAATGTCAGCCAGAACAATATTCTCTTGTTTTTCATTCATTGGGAAATGCGAGAAGTCTTAGGATACTGAGTATGGATTATCATATTCTAAATGCACCTTAGTGACTGTAGATTTTCGGAAACCACATGAGACTAATTTGTAGTTCTATTTTTTGAAATGTCAGTTTTTGTGTATTGCTAACTATTGTCCAGTGGTATAATAATAGTAAGACTATCCTATACATTTAATTATTCGCAAGCCTGTTTAACTTTCTCGATAAATTCTCATTCCAAATCAATGTGACCAAAATTACCCATTACCTTCGCAATATCTCCTTACGAATTTGGTGGACACTAGACTCCAATTTAGTCACTGAAAACACCCACTGAGTCATGAAGAAAATGAAAGACAGTTCAACGAAGAAAATTCTCTTTATCGATCAAATCATCTTCAGAGGCTGTACAGTCGTGTTTACATTTACCGAAAATGTATAGTAGGCTATTATTGAGTCATAGTGGGTGACATAATTGATGGAGTGACAATGGGGTCACCATTGGGTCCTTTACTTGCAGACTGCTTGTTGGCAAGTCTGGAGAATAGTATGTTATGACCCACTATCGATAATTTCCATATATACCAAAGATACTTGAATGATACTTTCGTCATATGTGACGAGAACATCAGCGTCGAAATGATAACTAAGGAGTTCAGCAGCTGCCATCATGCCATCCACTTCACGTCGGAATCAGAGATGAACTCGGAATTCCATTTTATGGATGTTTTTTCTAAAAAGGAGATCTGATGATTCGCTTCAAAGATCGATTGACAGAAAACCAACATAAAATGGTCAATACACGAATTTTCATAGTTGGGTTCCTTTGAGAAGAGAAAGAAATCTGATCCACTCCTTATCCTCAAGAATAAAAAGGATATGTTCCAGTGATACAATCGACGGGGAACTGGAGTGACTCAGACAAGTACTCGTGTAAAATGGATATCCTCCTAGATTCATCGAGAGAAACATGAAATTAAAGCAAAAGCCTGAAAGAACCCAGACGGTGCCGAAGAAACTGCTATTTATGAGCGTTCAATTTAAAGGTGATGCCGCTGCTGAGATCCTGAAGAACCGCTTATGCAGATCACTGAGAAAAGCTTTCTTTGTGGCTGAGCTACGGATCAATTTCTACAGCCGACAAATGATCAATGGATGTGTGAAGGATAAACTGCCGTTTGGGGCCACTTCAATGTGTGTTTATAAATTCACTTGCTCATGTGGAGCTAGTTATATTGGACGCACAAAGCGCACACTTTCCAAACACATATCTGAACATTATCCGGCATGGTTAGCAAAAGGACAATGCAAGGCAGTTACTAGCTCAATTCTCGAGCGATTGGTGAACTCAAGTCACGCAGCCTCACCAGAGCTGTCTTTCAAGATTATCTACAAGATGAGGCCAAATGGTACAAAGGGAGTCAGGTTTCGGCATTTGTGTATGGTAGAGACGTTGGCAACTCTTCAATACAACCTCGAACTCTGTTTGTCCAGTCTCTTATTCTATCTTGGTCTTAACCTCTTCACTAGTCATTCCCTGTAAAAAATCTTATATTTTTATTTTACTTTTAGTTTGCTTTCACTTTAATAGTTAACTCACTATTATCACTCTCATATGCTCCTTTTTGTACATATTCTCAACCTATTCACACTTGTTAAATTGACACTGAACTACCTTTATTCTCACTCAATAACAGTTTTAACCTTATCAAATTTCTAATCCTTTCTTTCTTTGTGCCGTTGAGTACTACGTAATTTGCAACTTTATTTTTACTTCTAAAACCACTTCCGAGTAATTATATAAATAATGTCACCCCATGTTACTCAATAATAGACTACTATACATTTTTGGCAAATGTAAATACGACTGTACAGCCTCTGAAGATGATTTGATCGATAAAGAAAATTTCCTTTGCTGAATTGTGGAATTTACTCTTTATGAATAAAGATTTTATTTACGGACGGCCGTAGCTGAAATCGCCATTAAACTTCTGCCAACAGTACTAATTGCTGTTTGCATATTATCCAATTCACTTACCCAATTTTTTATTCCTTTACAATCCCAGTGGAACACAGGGCTTCAAGATAGACTCCTGAACTTTCAATAACAGTGCTGTTGACTTTTTACGGGATGGGGTTGCTAGCCTCATGCTCAACCTTCCCTCTTTACCAGTCTTATTACTAGCTTAGCAAGGTAAAGGAGTGCGTCGGCCGGAGATCGAACCCAGGACCACCTGCGTGGTTGGCGAGCATTCTACCAATGTGCCACCTACCTATAAACAGGTATAATATACTTTTTCACATAATTAACTTCACTACAAAGTAGTACGTACATGTATTCACCTCTATAAAACTGAACATAGTGGTATCAAACATTGCAGCAGAACAACATGAATTTATTTATTGGCTCTCTCCAGGTGCGTACAGCCTATATTATAATTTAAATGTTTACATATATCGAAGAGACTTCATTTAAACGAACCTAATGATCTGAACAGTTTAATCTCTAACACCTGGCAGGCCTGAACTACCAAGCAGACTATTTAGAGTGATCTAGAATATTTGAAAGAAACAAAATGGACTTAGTCTTCCACGAATTACTGAGTCTATTAGAATAAAACGTCTCGGTCCTCGTCATGTGTTCGAAAGGAAAACGTAATCAACCTTAATTTACCCTGACAACTTGATTTCCCATTATTACGAATCTAACATGTTTATCAATAAAGCAATTTTGAATGTAATCTATACGCCATCCTAAACAAATTCTATCATGATAAATTTATTTTTAATAAATTTTAACACAAATCATTGATTGAATCTCGTATTCCATACTAGATAAGTTTATTTTGTTGTAAAGCTCACAGTGATACGCTATTGATAACTGGACGGGTTTTCGGTCGCAGTTTATTACGCATCACCATATCAATGAAATTATGTTGGGTGTACAATTATACCTAACCTCCACTGTATTCAAATTCCAAAATAAAATATGCAAACAAACAAATAGGGTGGGAATGGAATCACAAATACTCCCAACACTTGCAGATACATTCACAGATGGCTGGGAACGTCGAGCTCTTAGGACGTTTCATCCTGATCCTAGGTGATAGCGGAGATATGTGGATGACACATCCACTGTATTAAAATCTGAACAGATCCCTAAGTTCTTCACACGTATAAACTCAGTTGTAGGTGGAATCCCATTCACTCTTGAGTTAGAATTAGTCAGAAACAGGATAGTGGGTTAGATACTATTTTATTTGATTTTTATTTTTATTACAGCTTGATTCCACACCGTATTTTCAGAACAATTATGGAATTTTCAGCATGGATATCGGTAGCCCAAATTTACAGGCCGACCATAGATATCGGGTGTGCGCCGGCAGGGGATCGAACCCCGGACCATGTGCATGGTCGGCGGGAGTCCTAACCACTGTGCCACCGAGGCATCCGTAGAAAACTGACACATTCTAACAAACACTTAGACTTTGGTTCATCCCACCCAAAATCGGTAAAGGCACGTAGTCAAGTGAATGTGAATTCGTGTTATATAAAATAAACTTATCTAATGTGCATGTTCGTTCTACCACAGTGCCCAAATATTATACTTACATAATTTCTTGTATTCACTATGGTATAACTGATTTCTACCAAATGAATTTTTGTAGGTCAAACGTTTAAATACGATGTGATGTGATGAATAAATGGACAAATAAGACTAATTGTAACACTGAGTGACTGCATTTTCCCTCACTCTCCTGAGTGTTCTCTCTCCTTTCCTTAAGGCATTAAACTAGACTTGTATTTTGCATCCTATTATGTGTATCATCTCTTCTTGACGCGCTCGAAAATGTGAATGTAAGTTAGAATTCCTCTTTTAGAAGGCGTTTATTTGTTTTGAAGCTCACTGAGGACTACTCATAGACATAAGTGCGTCTATTATTCAGTAAGCAAACCTTTTGCATGGAATTTCCAAGCAACCCTGCGGCTCATCCTGTTGATAAAAGGTCTTATGAACCTAAGGTTAGACTGATATCCTTGAAATTACCCAAACGAAATGGCCGTCACACACAACCTGTCAGAGTTTTGAGTTCAAATATATACCATCATTATTATATTACAACAAGAGTTGATTCAACTGATTTCAATCTGAGATGTTACCAACGGTTCTACACCTAGTTTCACTTCTAAATACCAATATCATCATGAGCTGCATAACAGTTTTTTTAACCTCTATGAACAGTCAGAAAATATGCACATCAAAGGGTGGTGCTCACTAGCCATAATCAAGGTAATATGAAAACATCTTTAATACTGACTTACTGCCCCTTGGAGTTTTTGTTTACGTAGTTTTATCTCCCGATGTCTTGCGTCCAGAATTTTCTCACGGTGGGTTTCTCTCTCGAACATAGAGGTTATTAAAGCTTTTTCGTTTTTCGATTGGGTCCAAAATCCTTCAGAGAGTTCCAGAACTGTGCACACTCCACTGTGCGATCCTGTTGCAATAAGTCGACCTTGTTCTTGAACTCTGAGGCAATGAAGCGGTTCGTCACAAATCTGTCTTTTGAGATGAGATAAGAAGTGAAATGACACAAGTTCACTTCAGGATACAATGAAGAGAGAATTAGCACTGCCAATGTATAAATGAACTCGACAAATACTAATTATCTTTTTCCAGTTATTTCCCTATATTATACTCAAGAAAGAACTGTCATTGGAATGAGCATTACTATTTTTTCGAACACCTTAATTTGTTACTTAGTATTTTGTTGCCTTGATAGGGAATTAGTGCCGTTTGCCTCATTTGACTTTGTCTCTACGCTTTTATAAATATTTTATTCACCAAGACCAAGGTTCTATTAAAGTCAATCTCGTCTATTCTTATTAGATCTTGCCTAAAATTAACAGTCATGAGTTTTCCAACTTCTTCCATTATTTCTTCTGTTTTACTGGTTGTGATCTTGCGGTCTGTTACAGCCTAACTGTTGGAATAGTTTCAGTCAAAAACATATACTGTTAAGTCATGTCGAATTCATATCTATTTGTGCATCTACTCAAAAGTTAGATGTTAGCAAGAGCATATGTGGCTACGCATAAAAATAAACATCAAAATTGTCGTTACCAACACTATAATAACAAAAGGAAATAAACAAAAGAAAAGATACAAATGAGAATTCCATAAAAATATGTAAAATGAATAAAATCATCATCACGATAGAACATTCAAAAAGTGTACAAGATAATTCAATTCCAGCATATCCCGAGTAGTGCTCTCTGAATGAAATTGTGTTTTCAAGACAAGAATTAAAGACATGAGTGAAATAGCATGCGGAACAATTAGATGTGGATGGTAAACGCAGGCGTGCTATGCACAGACCCAATAGTGTTTTATGAAATATAGGTCCCACTGATAATTTACTATGATCATCAACCAACAGAATTATGAAGGTGAAGTTATGAATCGACGAATGTCTACTGACTAAAATAAATACGGGTTACCTTAGTTGTCTAGATATTAGAATGATTGGCTAGTACTATGTGGATATAGCTATCTGTGAAACATATTGTAGCTGTGGGGATTAATTAGTATGTCAGCTCAATCCACTTTTAGCCTTTCATCAAGAAGAAAACGCGAAATCAGATGCGATATTTGTAAATTACACAGTTCTCCTTGGAAACTCAAACTATTCAGATAGCTACAAGCTGCTGAGAACTCACACAGTAATCAAGTGCCTTTTGAAGGACGTTCTCCTAGGCTGAAAGCCACTTTACTCGTCATCTTCATTGCTTCTCATCAGTATAGCCAGTGTTCGTCTATAATATATAGATGGTCACCAGCTAAACACAAATCTGCCGGATTTGACAGTTAACTGTAGTAGCCGGTAAAACCGATATTCACACATCAATCTGGTTAGGATGATCAGCATGAAGTCGCAAAAAACACCAGTACACGCTAAAGCATGATCAGAATCTAGAAAACTGTTTCAGAAGAAGAGATAGTTCTGTTAGTTATCCTAGCTGATACCGGTTTGGTCTGTCTGAGTCCAGGCTTGAGTGACAGACGCCAGGCGTCAGGTAGTACTAAGGGAGTGACTGTGCAAGAAATTGGTGTCCACTAAAAATAAGCATCGGCCCTACCCCTTGGCGTAACAGTGACACCGATGATACTAGGCATCCGAATAAACTCACATAAAACTTACAGTTTCAGTTAATACGTGGGGAAATCATTCGGAGCACCCCACATGGATCCTGTATGTAGATTTCTTTGATGCAGCCTACTTCAATCGCGATGCTTTCGAAGATTTCCGCTAAACCTGTGCGTCTTTCGATCCCAATTAACATGTAAACTTAAACGTGACGAATTGTATCATTATGGCCTACTAAGATATGTCTCTGGAGGTCAGAATTCTGAAAGCGACTATTTAGAGAATCAAAACGGCACAGACAGACTAAGATATGAAATAACAACGAACATTCCATGAAAATAAATATAACAACAAACGTATGTGTGATAGAGATCAAACAAGACGGTTCATATATGAGGATGGTAATATAATGGTAATAAGTCAAATGGCTGGATGTATCACTGATTTTTCGGCAGGAATAATAGCTTGGAAGAGCATTAAGATAAGTTGGACCTTTCATTGAAATGTCACGCCATATTTTCGCCAGGGCTCAGATACTGCCTATGTGAGCAAATCAAGGCAGATAATTGTCCTAGGAGACCGGTCTCCGTATCTGACTTAGTGGAGCGAAGTGAGGATCTCAGTACTCGTAATTAATGATGATCAAAATAGGTTCGTCTGCCATTCGTTTGTTTGAAGATTCTGGAGCCCATGTATGCCAAAAGTTGACAGACATTGTTTATAAGAATAGAACGTGAGCACTGTGGTAGAGTGTAATTCCATCACAGATTAAATTTATTTGATAAAAGCACTCAGTGATACAGTATTATTTACTGACATATAAATAATAATAAATAGTACTGTATCACTGTGTGCTTTTATCAAATAAATTTACTCTATGATGGACAGTCATGATTTTCCGAATTTCCCAAGTCAATTTTCATATCTGCAGTTCAGCTATTCGAAGTGGACATCTGCAATCGTTCATTCACTCGCAGTCGTATGGACGAACTCCAACAAGCAAGTTGTTGAAGGCATTGTCACACATGAATTAGCATCAGAATTGGTGACGAATACGCTCCAGTTTTCCACTTTCTCATTCTGTAGAAAATGGTATGCAATTTTGAACACCCCTTTAAATTCAATAGATAAGTATGCTTGGATGTTTCTTTCTTTTACTCCCCAATTGTTTTATCATATTTTCGCCTATATTGGTGTTCGATTATTTAGTGTGGCGCATCACTTTGTACTTATGTGGTGCCAAGTTTACCTTTAAATAAACAATCGATAACTACTACGTAGTAGTCCAGTTTAGCAGACCTCAAATCAGCAGATTTGGTATAAGGAATACAGATGGAGATAGGAAAGTGAGAGACATAATCATAGTTTGCTGAACAAAGTCTGGAAATGTGGGAGGACTACAAGTTTCACATCTTAAGCATTATTACCACTGCTTTGTTTTAATCGAAAAAGAATAAAACATGAAAGTTAGTCAACAAGATCTTGAAGTTGTGTCTGTAGCAGCAACTAATGTGCTAAGCCTGATACCATTGTTTGTTTCTTTAAGTGGGATAGGAATCGAGTGAAATGAAGTAAACAGTGAGTGAGTGAGTGAGTGAGCAAAATATGTCACTAGTTTATTTATTCTCAGACTGTTAATTTTAGCCTTATTGACTATTGGATAGATTCAGTTGCTTAAATTTTCATTTACAGAACATTATTCACATATTTTTAACCAGAATTAAAAATCAACGTACCTGAATATTGAGAGCCGGTGCTTCCTGCTTGAATATAATGTCCCAAACGCTTAATGTTCCGTCCAGACAAGTAGTGAAAAATACAGCTGGTCGAACAGGGCTCCAACATCCATCAGAAAGACCATAGTCATGGTTGGCTGTCCACATTATAGCAGAATCTCGAATATCTTCCGACCATATTCGAGCAGTCCAGTCACCAATACTAAGGAAGTTCTTCGGAAAAAATGGATTTCTCTGCAATGCGTAAACTGGTCCAATGTGTCCAGGATATGCAGCAACAATTTTTTCTGCAGGTGTCTTGCCTTTCCGGTTACAAGAGATGATAATCCCCTGAAAGCCAGAAAGGTTTCTTTTATGAAACGGATTTTTTCTTTTTATTAAATTGCATGTGTAATATTGCTGGAAACTGACACATTTTCAAGCATCAGAGTAAAACGATCCACTTTGTTTAAACTTCCGAAACAATCTGAACCTAAGTGAAAGATGTGGAACTGTAAAGTGTTCAGCAAACATAACCTGACAGTTTGCGAATGGTAAATAGCAGTTGATAAACAGCTGGGTTCGTTTCTCAAAGAAAAATGAGTCTCTTTACTGATTATTGGTGACACAAGATGCGCTTTATAGACTCTTTGTTAACAATCCAAATTAATAAAACCCAATGATCCACTGGTTGAATCTTAACTGCAAAATTTCAGCTTAATCGAATCATAACAGAAGTTAGTTTCCTGTAATTTTTTAACTTCTTGGGACCACGATTATAAGATGAATCCACCTTCGAAAGCTTTGGACAATCGCACAGTACTTCTGGTAATAGGCGACCTATGAGAGACACAAAAAATTATGACCCCTAAGATGAGTGATATGATGGCGAGGTACCTGTGTCAGATGTTAATTTCTTACTTTTTATCCCCTGTCAGTGACGCACTTTATTTTTGTTAAGCAGATCGATGAATGGTGTTTAAGCATTTGAAATAATCAAGTCTGGACCAGGGTTGATCTGGGAGGCTCCGGATTTTGCAAGACAAAGTGAGTAACATGGGTTTTATTGATAGAGAGCAATGATCAAGTAAACTTGCATTTTTAATTAAGGTATTCGAAATACGAATATTGCGAAGTAATGTCAGACTGCTACTAGTTACCGTAGGCCAAGTAGTCAAAGTTAGATAAAGGAAGAAATACATTATTTGCCTCATAAACAACTTTAAATGTGTGGGATTTACGCCGAACAACACAATCTTCATCTCCGACTAAAATTGTCTATTCAGTTAGTAACCAATCATAAATAAGCTCTCACGACTGGATGTCGATGTATCTATTTTCCAGTTTTACCCACTTGGATTAAACAAACAATGGATTCGAGTCTCAATGCGACCACCACCAAGTACTGGTACACAGGACTCCATTGACAGTCAACACTAACAGAATAACAAAATAATTCCATAACTATTTGAAAACACATTCTTTCCGAGGATAGAACACAATTCCTTTATCCTTGATATATTCCCACAAAGAGGTGTAGATACAGCATGATGTGAAAAGTCGCATGAAGTATTTGATTTTAACCGACAAGAGGCAGTTGATGGGAAGTACCAAGAGTAAGTCTTATCCCCCTTAATGAGGAAAAGCATGTCAGTCGCAACAAACAAACAACCATCCGTGACCTAGAGTTAATGCTCAAAACTTGTAACTGGAAAGTTGGAGCTGTAAAGCAACACAAGTAATCTAAAATTTGAATATATCGCCAGTCTCCTATTTCCTATACACGGGATTTCTAGAAATTTTCATATGATTCTGACGATTTTATGTTAAATTGATTGACATTCCATCTTACAGGTTATTCAAATGACAAACATAAATTTATCATATGCAATTAAAGCAACACTTCAAAATTCTTCTGAAGATAATTGGAATTGATAGCCGTGCCCTCTATATATTTAACTTCACAAGTGGATAATTTGAAAACCAATCTACGACTTCATAAATCAACGGCGTTAAACTCTGCATTTGGTCGGCACAGTTATTTTGCTTTAGAAATACTCCACTGAAAGTCTTCAATTACTTGCTGATAAGTGTGAAAACTATTGGCTTCACTTAGCCTAGTCCTAATACACTTTTCACTACTGAATGTGTAGCATTCTCCCCTCATCATATTCAACATCCAACTCTAATATTGATGAATGAGTAAGATTCTGTGATAGTGAGTACTGACTAGTAGGTAATACCAAGGTTTCCTAAAAAGTAGTGGATGTCAGAAGAATTAGATAGCGCGCACTTTAGGGCAGCAAACCTTAGAAAAATACGCAACATCAAGATGGTTAATTTGCACGCTCTCCTATTAACCACTACAGGGGGTCACTAATAAGAAACGAAACTATGCACAAATAGTGCACTAGAGAGAGAAAGAGAAAGACAGAAGAAAATCATTCTCAATTGTCCTCAAACAATGCTGAGGTTACTTATGATTGGCTGCTGTTCTAGAAGTGACTTGCTATCTTCCAGTATGCAGGCGGTATTGCCATACTGTATGAAAAGATTCAAACCATGCAGATGCTGAAGAACGACTTTCAATAAATGATTTCATCTCTGGAGACTGAATTTAATGGTTTCGATATAATCCATGGGTTTTCCGACTTACTATTCCATTAACACGAGAAGTATATGGAAGTCAGCCGCTCTGTGAGGTCGTGTTGACATTATAACAGTTCTATTGGATACAGCAAACGTAACTAAATGTGGCCAATCAGCCAATCATAGTAGATTTTTACGAGAGTGGAAAAATTTCCCTTAAGTTTATATATTGAGAATGCTTATTTAAGTTCATAAATAATACTGTAATTCGTTTCCCCAGTATTTTGTGTAAAATATTCTCATCATTTATTCTGAAGCAAATTTACAACTGAAATACATGAGACAATCAGAAGTACCGAACTTTCTTTGGTTACCTGGAGTGCCAGAATCAGAATGGAATGGAAATAATAATGAACGTGCCCAAAGCCTAGTGACTCACTTGTTCAGTACCAGCCATGAACTTTGTGGGTATGGTGGACTCATATTCCAATACATAAGCTCCTTGAGCACACGAAAAGTCTTGTTTCTTGGTGGGATCGAGATAAAGAAACTCCGTGGGTTCAGACATTTTCCTGACATCCCACCAGAAAACTTGACCATCAGTACCCGTAGAAAAGCATTCAGTTCCGGTTTTAGATTGTATCCAAATCACTTTCCAGGCGGGATCTCTGTGACTGTGTTCAATCGGTGAGACTTCAACAGGGTTGGAGCCCCTGCGTCTATCCCACAATGCTAGAGGGCAAGAGAAATTAAAATTCGATTGGCTACTTACAAAGTTGTCCGTTATAACAGCCACCAATTAATGTGTGGGAGTCTTTAGGGTTATACTCAATGCAGACAAGCGGAGAGGCTGTTTTAAGCGTCAGTTCAGGTCTGTTGGGATTGGTGACGTCCCATATGTATGACTCGTTTGAGGTGTTTCCAGAAACTGACTTAAATTCAGTGTTGCAGTAGGCGATAGCCAACTTTGTTGGACCATCAGGATACCAAGATATGTGTGCAATGCTTCGTTTTGGATCGCTCATATCTCTAGATTGAAAAGGCTGTACACAAACCATCATCTCACTTTAAAACGGTTATAGTCTTAGCGGATGGAGGGTCTTCGGAAGTGTTCACATCGAAATCTTCGAAATAATTTTCATAAATATTCAGTGCATTGTTTTGCTTAATGCAGTGCTCCATAATCTACGATACTGTCACCATAATGTAGGACTTACGTTTCCAAGTTTATGAACTGTTGCAATATACAACTCATCTTTTTCAACCTTCTTCCGATACCTTATAACCTGGTCAGGTTCCTGTGCATTGACATCCTTTGGCCAGCCACCTTCTGTATGGTTCATCCCTCGAGATTCCGAACGATATCTTTCAGTGTTAGCTTCGTGTTCGGACATTTCTTGCGATGACTGAACACCCTTGTCGATAGGATTCATTTCGATAAACTTATGTGATACATCAACATCTGGGAGTATTTCAACTAACATTTCTGCATTTTTGTCACTGAAGTTGCACTGTCTTCCGAATTCCGATCGTCTTTTGGCGTACACATAGCTAATTTCCATATTTCAAATAGTCGCGAGTAAGCGACACCAACGGTATCCAACTCCAATATCCAATATCCAATATCCTGATTACGAGCTAGTATAAACCAGTGATTTCTTTGAGCTCGCTTCTTGATTTTAAGGTAGAGGTTCCAGATCTTCGGTGAACTTATGCGTAGTAAATCCCGCCACTCGACTGCTTTAGCTCTGGTAGACTCCAGGAGGAGTGATGCGAGGATTGGTCAAGATTGTGGTTTGTAGTGTGCAGTATGTTAGGACTCAGCTGCTGCCGTGAATGGAGTTTGACCTAACACCCGTCGGTCATTCGGTATAGTCATAAAAGTAGAGTAATAATAATAATGATAATGATAATAATAGGTTGTAGTGTAGACAATATAGGTTGAGATAAGTGAAATAATAAAGAAAGAAAGATAGAGTAGTCGGTACAGTGGGAGAAGACAGGACGGGTCGTGAAGATTTAGCTTGTGTGCTTATCCATTGACAATGTGGTTTCAAATTTTAAGAGGGTAAGCCATTGAGACACAAACCATGCATTTCTGCATGATTGTCCAGCTTCCGCTTAAAAATCTCCACAGATGGAGCTGTAGTTACGGCCGCCGGTAAAGCGTTCCAGAGACGGCAAACTCGAAGCGAGAAGAAATGTGAACGCACTCGAGTCCTTGGTCTCTGGTGTGCTATCCTTAGCGGGTTACCTCGTGGAAGCCTATAATCACTTAATCGCAGGATGCTCTTGTTAGGATGGGCCTGGTCATTTAGGATCTTATAGACGGTGATGAGGTCTCCCCTGTGACTACGGTAACTAAGTGTGAAAAGACTTAGTGTAAGATTCCAATGTCCAACATCCTCATCATGAAGCAGTAGAAGAAATTTGATTTCTTTTCTCCTGCCTCTTGATGGTGAGATAGTGTTTCCTCAGTCATTATTATCACTTTGCTTTTGCCACTTCAGCAGACCCGATCTTTTGGAAGGGGTTCAAGGACGAAAGAGGTGATCGGTCACCAAAGTCAATTATATGATGAAAGGCTGAAGAAACTGAGTCTTTCCACATTTAGCTGTCGTTGGCCTTAGGACGACGGAATCACCGCTCACAGTATTACAACTTACCGGAATCCTGCAAACAAAGGTACTCTGTTTGTTAGGTCTAGTGTTTCCAGCTTTAAACACTAAAGCTTTATGTCATGAACCATTTTGTATTTTGTGTCAATTAGACCGTTTTTGCTTCATTGGACTCCCGAACATTTCTCGTTTGAATTGACATTTTGTCATCTGCGAAGTACTTCTGGAATCAACCACTGTACTATTTGTGTTGGGAAGCCGGATAACTTCATTTGTGAAGAACAATTATTTTGCAGTTCTTCAAAATTTTGTCGTCAGTACGCTTCCATTTCCAGCCGTTTAGCCAATTCTGGATTTGGTTGAGTTTGTTTCTGACAAATTGGATTTACTTTGGTTTGGTCCAACACTACAAGCCATGATAGCCGGTAAATATCAAATTTTACGTTCACCGTAAAATAGTAAAAATAATGAATTCACAGAACATCATAGTTGTTACGTGAAATTTGACATGGACCGCACCGGGTTTCGCGCGCGATACAGACGACACTTCTTCCCTCTCCAGCTTCTCGCTTGCCACATCTGCCAGCCAACTCTGCCTCGTACCTGACCAGCACATCCAAATTAGGACCTTTGCTCCAAACTTTCATTATTTTTGTCGAGTAGCATGTGGCCTTTCTGTTCAATTCACTGTTCAGCTCTACTCCTCTGATAGTATGCATCAGATTTCCGCTAAATGCACACTGGTCAGTCCCCTTACCTAATCTTAGGGATGGAACCTATGTTGGATACCGACACGAAGTTAAATAGCAATCGCAAACCAAATTCCGCTTCAGATAAGGGGAGATCAATTGAAGCTACATAAACAGTACTGAGTAGAGAAGCGAAATCTGTCATCAGATCGAAATTTTAGACGTATCGTAACTGACTACGACAGCCGGATTTGTATACCCTTAGCTACCGCAGAATGATCGGCGACCTTACAGTGACACGTAAAATAATGTATTTTAGGGATTCATGGAAATCCGTCCATTCAATTGAATCTCAGCCACTTCGTTTTTAAAAGTCAGTTCCTTTAGCTGGATAAGCCTGTGGATGATTGGGTTTTCAGGGAACATTGGGACAATTTGGCTTGTGGTGTGATTTTATACCGCTGTACTCTCGCCTTACCATCGTTAACAGATACATTCTTGAGCAGCCATAAGGGTTATGTTCACTCTTCTCGAGTTGCGGCAGCGTTAAGAGCAGGTAGTGCGGCCAAAACTGATATCTAGCAGGACAGATAGCCACACGGCAACTGTGAGCGTAGGTGAATCCAACTGGAAGCGAGCTCGAAGTTATTGTTGCTGCTTAACTAATAGCTTTCCCAAAGAGTAGCGCATTGCGCATGGCCCGAGTGATTACCGGAAGGGCGCTGTGACATCCCTTGTGGTAACTCTCAAGGAACTGCTCATCAAGCGGAAGTGATAGACGAAATAAGCTAGCCTCAGATGGGATGTCCCGTGTAAAACTTAAATTACTCCTAAAAATCAAGCGAATGTACCTCCTCTCATGTGGATCAATAAATATGGATCAATCAAGAGACACACGGTAAGAAAATCCCACAGGGTGAATCAAGAGAGCACTCTTGTATGGGATAGAAAAGATACGTCACTGAACCCTTGTCATTTAAATTAGAGACTCCAGTAATCTTCTACTCACTAGTAAGTCTTGTTATTGAAGACGGAAGATACCTAGCGAAACTTAATGTTGGAAAATACAGTGGGTCAAATATAAGTTGGGTATGAACTATGGCTCAACTGATTGTGAGGCTCATATTGAGTGTATAACTCCCATGAATGACCACTAAACGTCCATGTATCTAACAAGGCTTCCGCGATGGACCTCAAGAGCAGTGTGTTAAAAGAGAATCGTAACAAAACATTCCCACTAAGAACTCCGTACAAGAGCAGCCTTTGAACTACATGGCTATTCAAATGCAATTTCAAGGTATTTCTGTACTTTCGATACAACTTGTTGATTTTCGGCAGTTCGATAGAATATCTCACGCAATTTTCTATGCAGCTGAGGAAATTTTGGCGACCTGATTGAAGAATGATATATTTTTCCTTGGACAGTAATAACACGATTTCGTTGGGCTATTTCATAAGCGCGTAGATCCATGACAAAACAAAACACCAAGTTTGATCATATGAATTACGAAGCATGTTTCGGGAACGAATAGTAATTCCGGGTTGACTGTTTAACTAGCTGTGGATCGTCACAAACTAACGAACTTAACACGACGGTGTGCCAGATAGTGATGGTGCCTGACTGTGGGCATTCAACTAAGCAATTTGATTTATTCGGTGAGGGTGAGCATCCAATGTTTAGTGATCAGTGCTGTGGCTAATAACTTTGGGGAATTACCTACAGCTACAAAGGTATTGATAACGTGATGGTTAAGAATTTTGATGTTCGTACGCATGGTTTCATTAAATGCCATAGTCACGTTAGTTATTTTCAACAAGAAGACAAGCCTACAGGACAGTTAGAATTGGAAGAGGAGTTGGGTTAGCTTTATTCTAATCTGTACGGTAAACATGAGGAGATGCACGAGTTCATGTCAAAATTGCTACGTTGTCAGTAAAGGTTGATGTTGTGTGCTTTGATGGTGACCCTAATCAATACAGAATGTTTATGAGCCAGTTTCGAAACGCAATTGAGAGTAAATTAAGTGACAAGGGACGGAAGTTGACTCAGCTTGTACACTTTTGATGAGGAAAGGCAAGAAAGTCTATTGAAGCGTGTACAACACTCTTTTCAAACCTGGACCATGAAACAGCCACGCAGATACAGTATGATTTATTTGGATAAGGGTTCTCAAACCATCAGCATGATTGGAGATAATCTTAATGACGTTGCTATAAGACTCCATAACGCTCATATTTATTTACTCTACTATAGACGGATTTGACACAGTATTCTGGTACAAGTATGGAATTTTCAGCACATGATATCGGTAGCCCATACTTAGCAGGACAACCGTCGACATTGGTTGTGCGTTGGCTGGGGACTGAACTTCGGACCATTTGCATTGTAGGCGAGCGTCCTAACCGCTGTGCCATCAACATACAGGCGCCGCGGAAGTTCCGGACTCTGAGGTATGGTGGCGACGGCGATCCTTTGGTTCTCGCTGTAACGCTGAGAAGTCTTCTGCATCGCTCACCACTCACCTTGGACGAAGATTCGCGTCCCTACGGATATCGCTCTTCAGTTGCAGCTAGTTAACGCGGCTTGGCCGATGGATGTTCATGAAGTGGCAAGGGTCACTAGGCAACTAATAATTTCGCATGTCGCTCCAGTGATGACGGAGTGCCAAGAATCCAACAAGATTGAAGACCGAACTGAAGAGTCGAAACAGCATGTGTTGGCTATGCAGATATGTGGATGACATCACGGCAGATGTTTCGCTTGCGGAGAAACCGGCCACTAGCAGAGAAATTGCCCGAAACAAAGGCAAACAGACTTCAAGCGATACAGTCTTCCTTCTTTTCTTCGCTTGCGCTTGGGGGTTGGGGGATTAATTGAAGGAGTTGCCGTATACGGAAGACTGCAGGCTAATGAAAGATAACTAGTTCGTTTAACCGACACAGAGGCAGTAGTTTCGTTGATAGGTGGAGAACAGGGCGCGCACATTGGCAGTTCAGACGGTAGGGGGACATTATTCGCAGATCCTTGGTGTTTCAGACTGCGTTATAGAGATCGTTCATTGCAACGTCAGATATAAGGCGAACGATCTCGGGAATAGACTTTCTCGGAGAAGCAGGTCCTGAAGTCTATATGAAAGATGGGAGAATGGTTACAAATCACTCGGCATTTCGCTATACATAAGAACATTGAAGTCGCCAAGGTAGAAACTAAAACGAATGTCGCTAAGGAAGCCCCAAGTCTAGCCACGTTGATGA